ACTTTGGGCCAATCACCAGGAGACATGGAGTTCTAGTCCTGCCTTAGCATGAAAGCTGGGTGACTTTGGGCCAATCACCAGGAGACATGGAGTTCTAGTCCTGCCTTAGCATGAAAGATGGGTGACTTTGGGCCAATCACCAGGAGACATGGAGTTCTAGTCCTGCCTTAGCATGAAAGATGGGTGACTTTGGGCCAATCACCAGGAGACATGGAGTTCTAGTCCTGCCTTAGTATGAAAGCTGGGTGGCTTTGGGCCAATCACCAGGAGACTCCCGCCTCAGGCACGAAATCAGCCGGATAAGTTTGGGCCAGTCCCTCTCTCTCAGCCCAATTTACCTCACAAGGTGTTGTTGTGGGTAGTGGAGGATGGAAGTGGGTTGGATAAATGCACCACCTTATTTTAAAATAATAAAGGCAGGATACAAATAAATAAGAATAAAAATACCGGTCAGGAGATTAAACTCAAGACGTGAGGGTGTCAGGCCTACCGCCCATCTTGCTCCAACCTGTATGGCTCATGTTTAAGAAATGTTGCAAAAAAGGTAACGGAGAACGGCAGACCAACCTTCCTTCTTTTTAAAAAGGCAGGAAGGGATAAAACCATCCCGATGGGGCTCTTCTCTTCCCCCAAGATCACAACCCTTGGCTACTCTAGGGGTGGGAAGACGAGAGGCCCAAGCTCCGTTCTTCATCTCTAGCAGCCTCTCCACGAACACATGAACTAGCAGGGTACCCATGTGCTTTGCTACAAAACTATGTGGTCGGGCTTAGTTTTGGGGGAGGAAAATAAAAATTCTGCCTCTGCCTGCCGGCATCCTTCGCTTCCAACTGAAAAAAAATAAAAATAAACCTATGGTTAAAAGGAAAGCTTACTTCGAGATGTGTGAACCGTGGCAAGGCGCCGGTAGAGGTTCTTCTGTTTGGGATCTGGGTGGAACCCGCTTTTCGTGAAGTACACATGGATGTAAATGGAACCATTGTGTTGGACGCTCTGAAAATCAGAGGTAAATAATCGTGAGCATAGCTGGCATGCTCCTCCAGCAGGTTGGGGAACCTTCACCTGTGTGATAACCAAACTAGAAAGGGGAGAAGTAGAGACAGAACTTGTGAAAAGGCCCAACAGAAACCACCCTGTTCCTGGAACTGGCTGGCAGGACCAATGGTGGGATTCAAATAATTTAACAACCGGCTCTCTGCCCTTATGTTTTCTTCCCACAATTGGTTCACCAAACTGCTCATAAAAGTTAACAGCCGGTTCTCCCAAACTGGTGCGAACTGGCTGAATCCCACCACTGGGTAGGACTCATTCAGAGGGGGTATTCAGCTGGTTCTGACCAATTCTGGAGAACTGGTAGTGGAAATTTTGAGTAGTTTGGAGAGCTAGCAAATACCGCCTCTCACTGGCCCCGCCCCCATCTATTCTCCGCCTCCCGAGTCCCAGCTGATTGGCTGGGTCTCCTTTGGTTGCCCTGCACAGGAGAACGGAGCTGGAAAGCAGGTTAGGGGGGTGGGGAGGGAATGAGGATTTTGCAGTATCCTTCCTCTGCCACGCCCACCAAGCCACACCAACCAAACCAGTAGTAAATTTTTTTAATCCCATCACTGGACTCATTCCCAACCACGTGAAGAACGCAAGGCTTTCAAATATCGAAGAAAAGGCCCTGACTAACCCACCTGATTTTACAAACATTGTTTGTTTTGTTTTTACAATGGGTCGTTAAGGAAAAGACGCAGGCCGGTTTTGCCAAACACCAGAAATAAATGCTGGGCTTTGGCAAAACGGCCCTACATGAACGTGGGACGTTGCAAAAAGGCCGTAAATGTGGTTACATGACCAAGGGAGGGGGGGAAAGACGGATCATTGTAACTTCAAATGTGGGTGGTTAAGTCCCCTTTTTGTGGTAACTTTCAATGGTTTCTAAGCAGCCGGTCGTAAATTGAGGACTACCCGTAGAGTCATTTACAGGTAGTCCTCGACTTACAACAGTTCAAAGTTACAACGGCACTTGAAAAAAAAAGTGACTTATGACCATTTTTCACACTTACGGCAGTGGGTCATGTGATTTACGTTCGGCTGCTTTGACACCTGGTTCGTACTTTACGACGGTCGGTTACAGCGTCCCGCGATCCCCCTTTTGCGACCTTCTGACAAGCAAAGTTGGGGGGGGGGGGGCAATCCAGATTCTCTTAACAATCCTGTGACTAAGTTAACAACAGCAGCGGGATCACTTAATAACTGGGTCCAGGAAGGTCACAAAATGGGGCAAAACCCATTTAACCAATGTCTCGCTTAGCAACATAAGTTCTGGGTTCAATTATGGTTGTAAGTCGAGGACTACCTGTAGGGTCCTATAGTCACATTAAAAATTGCCATTTGGCAACAGGTTTGGGACATGCTTCCTGTGGTTACAGGAACGGTTGCAGGAACTGGGCCTGACTAGTCTAGGGAAGAGAAGGACCAGGGGAGACAGGAGAGCATCTTCCAATATTTGAGAGGCTGCCCCAGAGAGGAGGAGGAAGGGGTCAAGCTATTTTCCAAAGCACCTGAAGGCCAGACAAGGAATAAGGGATGGAAACTGAACAAGGAGAGATTCAACCTGGAAATAAGGAGGAACTTTCTGACAGGGAGAACAGAATAGAAGCTGCCTTCAGAGGTTGTGGGAGCTTCATCCCTGGAGGCCTTCAAGAAGAGATTGGACTCCCATCTGTCAGAAATGGTGTAGGGTCTCCTGCTTGGGCAGGGGGTTGGACTAGATGACCTACAAGTTCCCTTCTGTTATTCTATTCTAAATATAAAGAACGGTTGCAGGAACTGGGCCTGGCTGGTCTAGGGAAGAGAAGGACCAGGAGAGACAGGAGAGCAGCCTTCCAATATTTGAGGGGCTGCCACAGAGAGGAGGAAGGGGGTCAACCCATTTTCTAAAGCACCTGAAGGCCAGACCAGGAATAAAGGATGGAAACTGACCAAGGAGAGATTCAACCTGGAAATAAGGAGAAAACTTTCTGACAGGGAGAACAATCAACTGATGGAACAGAGGTTGCCTTTGGAAATTGTGGGAGCTCCATCACTGGAGGCTTTCAAGAAGAGACTGGACTGCCATCTGTCAGAAATGGTGTCAAGTCTCCTGCTTGGGCGGGTGTGTGTGTGTGTGTGGACTAGATGACCCACAAGGTCCCTTCCAACTCTGTTTATCTGTTAATCTGGTATGGAAAAACTACACACGGAGCGTTTGTAGCGGAGGGAAAAATTCAGCCGTGAGCAAAGAGCCTTGCCCATGGAGAACCGGAGAGAACATGGTGGCATCTGTTCACACACCTCAGGGATTTCCAACTCGGTGTAATGCTCGTAGCAGCCATCCGAATTCTCTCCACTTGCCCAGTCCCCATAGACTAGATCTCGCTGTTCCCAAAACAACGCCGACGTTGCGTTGAAGTCGGTAAAGTGCTCGTGTTCAGATATGAAGACGTGAAGATCCTGCCAGGAAAAGAAAAGGGAAAAAAAAAAAACCATTCATGACACTTGAGTCAGAAGCCAAACTCTAAGCTGGAAGAAAATTTATTTAGACAGACCCACGTATTTTATTTTGGAAGGAAAAAACGCTATGGGTTATTGACTGAAGCTCTTTGGAAACATGGAAAAATTGGTAATTCAGTAGAGATTGGATCCATCACTTTGGTGGCTTGTCTTCAGAAAATCTACTGCACTTTAAATGTTTACAACTGGTAGTTAGTAAGAGAGCTAGTGTGAAGATGCTGGCTTAGAAACCAGGAGATGGTGAGTTCTAGTCCTGCGTTAGGCATGGAATCCAACTGGGTGACTTGGCCCAGTCACTGGGAGACTGGGAATTCCAGTTCTGCCTTGGGCATAAAAGTTGACTGGGTGAGTCTGAGCCAATCACCAGGAGACTGTGAGTTCTAGTCCCACCTTAGACATGAAGCCTCACAGGCATGTGGGTTGTTGTTGTGGGTAAAATAGGAGGAGGAAGGAATATTCTATATATTCACCAGTTATTTATAAGAAATAATAAAGGTGGGATAAAAAATAAGTAACTATACATGTTGAGGAGGTGTGTACAATGTCCGTCAATAACTATCTAGCAGCCAAACAAAATATGCAGAAGAGTAAAAATGAAAGAAAACATTATAATAAGATAAGATAAACTAGGCAGAACCATTTGTCTTACATTTCAGAATAATAAAGGCAGGATATGCTATCTATCTATCATCTCTTTTATATATGTATATCTATATCTATCTATCATCTCTATTTATGTGTATATATCTCTATCTCTCTTATCTACCTACCTGTCTATGTCTGTCTGTCTGTCTGTCTGTCTGTCTATCTATCTATCTATCTATCTATCTATCTATCTATCTATCTATCTATCTATCTATCTCTATCCATCCATCCATTTGTCTGTCTGTCTGTCTGTCAATCAATCATCAAACCAACCTAACTCCAGTAACTGAATTCTATTTCTTTTTGGAACTAAATCTGAATCAGACAATTTCAATCCTGTGGCCAGAGAAGGAGCCTATAGCTCCGTTTTCCACCAAACAGTCAAAATCTGAAACTCTTGGAAAATCCGGGTTCATGATCCAGCCATCCTTACCATTAAAGTGTCTTTAGGGAAGAGATTGCGGCTTGGCGCCCTGGGTGCCCCGCCGGGGGTGGATGGATCCTGTGTCGTTGGCCCACGACGAAACCAGCTACTGATGGCCCAGATAATAAAGATTCTGGAGGATGAGAGGAAAAAAAAAAGATGTTGAGAATTTACACTCATTTTGAAACCAACCTGTCCAGCAAGAGCCATTGGCCACACGGGGGAATTCCAGAGAAATTCAGATTTGGACAAAGAGGTCCTCAGCTTCATCAACTGTCATAAACTTGGTTGGGTTTTGATTACTGTGAACTCGAGGATCAAAGAAGGGCAGTCCCTAACTTACATCAGTTCATTTAATGACCTTTCAAAGTTACAATGGCACTTATGACCGCTTTCACACTTACGACTATTGCAACAGCACACACACACACACACCGTGGTTATGTCTTCAAAATTTGGATGCTTGTCAACTGACTCATATTTAGGATTAGGGTCCCACAGTCACTAATTAGCAGCAGAAATTTGGGGTTTGTAAGTTGAGGATTACCTATCTGGTGTTTCTCTACCTTGGTAGCTTTAAGACATGTGGACTTCATGCAATTTGCTATGAAATTCACTTTGATTTTCGTTTGGGGCATGAATTGTAACTAATAACATTTGTTTTTAACCCATCTCTAATTCAATCATCAAAATTCTTCCATTTGTATCAGCATATTTATATACTGCCTTAATTCCTTCTCTGGTATACAGGTGAAACTCGAAAAATTAGAATATCATGCAAAAGTTCATTTATTGCAGTAATGCAACTTAAAAGGTGAAACTAATATATGAGATCAACTCAATACATGCAAAGCAAGATAGTTCAAGCCGTGATGTGTCCTAATTGTGATGATTATGGCTTACAGCTCATAAAAACCCCAAATCCTCAATCTCAGAAAATTAGTACATGCAATAAATAAAACAAGGATTGTACATAGAACAATATTGGACCTCTGAAAAGTATAAGCATGCATATGTACTCAGTACTTTGGGCCCCTTTTGCAGCAATTACTGCCTCAATGCGGTGTGGCATGGAAGCTATCAGTCTGTGGCACTGCTGAGGTGTTACGGAAGACCAGGATGCTTCAATAGTGGCCTTCAGCTCTTCTGCATTGTTCGGTCTCATGTCTCTCATCTTTCTCTTGGCAATGCCCCAAAGATTCTCTATGGGGTTCAGGTCAGGCGAGTTTGCTGGCCAATCAAGCACAGTAATCCCACGGTCATTGAACCAGGTTTTGGTGCTTTTGGCAGTGTGGGCAGGTGCCAAGTCCTGCTGGAAAATGAAGTCAGCATCCCCATAAAGCTCGTCTGCGGAAGGAAGCATGAAGTGCTCCAAAATCTCCTGGTAGATGGCTGCGTTGACCCTGGACTTAATGAAGCACAGTGGACCAACACCAGCAGATGACATGGCTCCCCAAATCAACACAGACTGTGGAAACTTCACACTGGACTTCAAGCATCTTGCAGTGTGTGCCTCTCCATTCTTCCTCCAGACTCTGGGTCCTTGGTGTCCAAATGAGATGCAAAAGTTGCTCTCATCAGAAAAGAGGACTTTGGACCACTGAGCAACAGACCCAGTTCTGTTTTTCTTTAGCCCAGGCAAGACGCTTCGGACGTTGTTTGTTGTTCAGGAGCGGCCTGACAAGAGGAATACGACATTTGACGCCCATGTCCAGGATCCGTCTGTGTGTGGTGGCTCTTGATGCACTGACTCCAGCCTCAGTTCACTCCTTGTGAAAGTCCCCAACACTTTTGAATGGCCTTTTCCTGACAATCCTCTCCAGGCTGCGGTCATCCCTGCTGCTTGTGCACCTTTTTCTTCCACACTTTTCCCTTCCACATAACTTTTTATTAATGTGCTTTGATACAGCACTTTGGAAACATCCAACTTCTTTTGCAATTACCTTTTGAGGCTTTCCCTCCTTATGGAGGGTGTCACTGATGGTTTTCTGCACAACTGTCAGGTCAGCAGTCATTCCCATGATTGTGATTCCTACTGAACCAGACTGAGAGACCATTTAAAGGCTCAGAAACCCTTTGCAGGTGTTATGGCTTAATTAGCTGATTAGAGTGGGACACTTTGAGCCTAGAATATTGAACCTTTTCACAATATTCTAATGTTCTGAGATTATGGATTTGGGGTTTTCATGAGCTATAAGCCATAATCATCTCAATTATGACACATCACAGCTTGGACTATCTTGCTTTGCATATAATGAGTCTTATCTCATATATTGGGGTTCACCTTTTAAGTTGCATTGCTGAAATAAATGAACTTTTGCACGATATTCTAATTTTTTAAGTTTCACCTATATACTACCATTCCTCTCTGTTTCTGTACTGCCAAGGCTCTGTATAATCTTCCTAATTTGGGGTATTCTAAACATTTCCTATATTGTTCTTTAATGTATACTTCCTGTAAGCACACGATGTCCACTTTTTGTTTTGCCAATCTTGTTAACATTTGTTTTCTTTTAGTAGGTGAATTCAATCCATAGGTAAAAAGCAGCTCTGGAAAAATCAAGTTTTTCTACCCCAGTTTCTGATGACAGCACTGGGGTGGGATAGTCCTGCAGCTTTTAGAGTCATAAATCTCCACCCCTTATCGCGGCAACCATTTCCTAAGTTACACTTTTACAGAACTCGATTACACAATTCTTGGGCTTGTTTATGAATAAGTTAAAAGATTAATTAATTATGAGATGGCGCAAGAGCTCTTTGCAAGAATTCTAGCAGCCTGCAGGGACCGGCAACAGTCTGGAACGATTTGATATCCGTATCAGCCGTCTTTTATTATAGCAGAAAATGCCAGAAATCCTTTTGAGTGACAAGCACGTGATTGATCTGCAGAGGAATTCTATCAGGCCCTCAACACCGCGGCCCAAATTTAATCAAAACAGTTAAATCAAGAAGCAAAGAAATATTTTGAAAATCAGGAGTCTGACCAGCAGTATATACTGAATGAGAAGTTATTTTCTGAACCCAAAGATCCTGGATTCAAATGCATTTTCTTCTACAAATTTGCTAAGCGGACGTATTTATTTTACAATATTTGTATAGCTGCCAATCTCATTTCCATGCGACTCTTGGCAGAGGATGAGAGTTAAACACAAGCCAATCTGATAATTCAGACCCCTTGTGCAATTCTTCACTACTACAACGCTAAGTCAACCCTACCACAGATGTTTGTTATGAAGAATATTCCAAACACTTTATGTAAATATCAAGCATTGCTAATGGGCAGAGTTGATCAATAGAGGGACTGCAAAAGATTTTGGCCAAAACAAGTAAAGAAGAGAGAAAAAAATGTGTATATTTTTAGTTCTTTTTCAAAATCTATCAATATTCTTAACAGCATTAAATGAATAATTTAAGAAACAGCCAGTTTGGTCTAGTGGTTAAGGTACCAGGCTAGAAAATGGGAGACTGTGAATTCTAGTTCTGCCTTAGGCGTGAAAGCTGGCTGGGTGACTTTGGGCCAATCACCAGGAGACGGGGAGTTCTAGTCCTGTTTTGGGCATAAAATCTGGCTAGGTGACTTCTCGGTCAATAATTAGCAGGTGGTGAATTCTAGTCCTGCCTTAGGCATAAAATCCAGTGAGGTGACTTCTGGGTCAATCACCAGGAGACTTGGAGTTCTAGTCCTGCCTTAGGCAGTTGGTTGGGTGACTTTGAGGCGATCCCTCCCTCTCGGTCTCCCCACCTCGCAGGGCTGTTGTTATGGGAAAAAATAAGAACAGGAAGGTGTGATGGATATTTTTGCCGCCTTGAGTTATTTGTAAAAAAATAAAAAGTGGGATAAATGAATGTGTCTACCTATCCCACTTCATGGAAGTTTCATCCCCAAATCTAATCTATATTAAATCTATCTTGTTCGCTGATTCTCAATCATTTCTGGACGAGGACATCTGTGGCGATACACCGCCCCAAAACTGAAAGTGCTGTTACCCTTTGTGGTTCGTTGCATTAACAACCTCCCGTGTTTAAAATTAGGGCTGAAGATAAATGCACAAACTGGAAAGACAAAGCCACAAGGTTGCGTTATCAGTTTCTGAGGCTTGATGAGTCATCAGTGAAACCCGAAAAACCAAGGGGAGCCTGTGTGTGTTGCCAGCTTGGACCATTTGATGAACCATAAAGGTATGGTTTCTTATCTACATCGTTAAACAGAAGATGATAGATAGATATGTATATATATGTGTGTGTATGTATGTATGTATGTGTATATATCTATATATCTATATCTATCTCTCCTGCTTAAAGTGGGCCATAGCATTTTGGACAATTGTCAACTTAATGCGAGTTGAATTATTATTTGAACTTCAAAGCAATCCGTGGATCCATTTTAAGCAATGACAAAGGGAGCCCTTGCCAAATTGCAGCGTTCTCTGCAAACTCGTGAATTGGGAAGACACTGTAGGCCAAGCGTTTGTCCACAATACTTCGATGCTGGCTTGGTTCCAATTTGATTGCCACTTAATAGATTGAAATATCCAACAGCTTCATCATTTGGACGTTTAATGTGTGGCTGGCACCCTAGGGGTGCCAAAGCGCATCGCTGAGGTAGGTCAAGAAAGCAGTATGAAGTAATGATTTTAATAAAGGTTTTGGAAGCAACGTTTCTGCCCTTTCCCACTGAGTCACCTTGAATATCCAAAGATTCCACTCCAGGATATATATATATAGAGAGAATACATTGGCTCTTACTTATAGTCCTCGATCTACGACCACAACTGAGCCCAAAACGTCTGTCCTCTACACTCTATACCATTTCTGACAGATGGCAGTCCAGTCTCTTCTTGAAAGCCTCCAGGGATGAAGCTCCCACAACTTCTGTGGGCAGCTTCTGTTCCGTGGGCTGACTGTTCTCACTGTCAGAAAATTCCTCCTTATTTCCAGGTTGAATCTCTCCTTGCTCAGGTTCCATCCATTATTCCTTGTCTGGCTTTCAGGTGGAAAACCCTTCCTCTCTGTGGAAGCCACTCAAATATTGGAACACTGCTATCAGGCCTGGCTTTGGTGTGTGTGTGTGTACGCACGCAATGCCCACAATAGCAATACCACCTAGACTTATATACCACTTCACAGTGCTTTACAGCCTCTCCAAGCAGCTTACAGAGTCAGCTTCTTGCCCTCAACAATCTGGGTCCTCATTTTACCAAGCTCAGAAGGACGGAAGGCTGAGTCAACCTTGAGCCTGGTGAGATTTGAAGCGCCAAGTTGCAGGCAGCCGGCAGCAGAAGCAGCCCTGCAGTACTGCACTCTAACCACTGCGCCACCGCAGCTCAATTGGGGGGAGCGGGGAATCCTTGGTCTTTGGCTGAGCTTGGCTGTTTTCTTGCAGGCATCTCATTACCAAACTAGGTGATATCGTCAGTGCAACCAGGACGCTTGGCTTCGCAAACAGATGCTGAGATGTGATCCTCGTGTGGCTCTGGTAATTAAAAGACTAAGCTAGTGGCCAAAGGGAAGTCCCTTGCTTACATTTCAAGACAAGAAGGGGGGGGTCCAGAAAGGGCGGATTTTTACCTGAATAAGACGCCTTTGATGATCTGCCAGGCATTCGGGGCTTGTTGTGGGGGCTGGTTCGGCTGCTGAGTCTCCACGACCCCTTCGCCGCCCCCCGCGGTGCCATTGCTGGTCACTTGCTTTAGAAGCAGGGAACAAGGAGAGAGAAAGACGGGCATCACAAAAAGCTACGGGATGCAAGAAATCAGATCTCTTTAAATCTTGAATTACCTTTGAAATCCCTTTAATTTTCTAACTTGGGTGAGGTGGATGGTGTAGAAAATTGATTTTTTTTAAAAAAAAAATACCCCTCAAAGAAATCCTGTTTTTTATGGCAATGGGTTTCCGATGATGTAAACTATAGGAAAAAATGCTTTTACTTTTTCAGCATCGCTACCAATCTATCTAAAATCGAACTGACTTTATGGAGGAGAGAGTGCGACTCTCTTCCTTTCACCCACATTTGTCTGGATGTAAACCTTCCCTTCCTATTTTTTTTTTTAAGTTAAAAAGAAACAACAGAAATCCTCTTCCCCATAAAGAACTTCGAATGATTTCACAGCCATTTTCAAATGGAAGAGAAAAAGGCAACCATCCTACGTTATCCCTTTGGGCTGAGGGCACACGAGAGCAGATTATAGTACCGTCCTCAACTTACAACAGTTCGCTTAGTGACCATTGAGGTTGCAACGGCAGTGGAAAAAAGTGACTTACGACAGTTGTTCACCCTTAGGATGGTTGTAGCCTCCCATGGCCAGGTGGATCAACCTTCGGACGCTTGGAAACCGACTCGTATTTGGGACGGTTTGCTGTGTCCCGGGGTCACGCGATTCCTCTCTTGCGACTTTCCGACAAGCGATGTCAACGGGGAAACCAGATTCACTCAACAACCATGTAACAAACCACTGCAGTGATTCACTCAACAACGGCGGCAAGGCAGGTCATAAAATGGGACAAAGCTCGTTTAGCAAACGACTCGTTTAGCCACAGAACTTTGGGGCCCGGCTGTGGGTCAGCCAAGTGAAATCCTAAGCCAATGTTTTACTCTTGCTCTGATGATCGACTGACGTTCACAGGATGGCAAATTGGCTTTCCACCCCAAGCACGGACAACTGAAGACAACGTCCGTTAAGTTGTTCAGAGGCACTGCCTGGTTTTCATGAGAACGCCAAAAGCAGAGGCAGAAAACGTAACGCGTGGCGAGAAGTTTTCTAATCGGGTAATCAACCCATTTGATCTTCTGTACGTCGGTGTGAAATTGGGGGGGGGGGTGTTATTCCTTTGTGAACCTCACACCACCCTTGTCGAGGAATCTCATTGGGCCTTGCCTCCCCAGATAACCAGTTTGGTGAGATCTTTCGTCTCCTCCTAAATATGACTTTCAAACTTGGCTCTGACCTTATTTTCAACTGCTAAACAAGCCTCGATTCTACTACTGTATACTAACCTCCAATGCGGAAATCTATCCAATTAATCCCACCTTTGACCTGTATTCTTTTAATAAGTGACTAAACTTATCAGGAAGTTATGCAACAACAGGAACAAAATTACACATGTAAAGACTTCTCATTGATGTTTTACACACACACACACACATCTTCAGGGAACAGTTTCAGTAAAGGGTCACCATATATCTCACTGCAATTATCTGCGCATAACCATTTATAAGCAACTTACTCCTAAATGGGAAGGAAAATCAGATTTTCAATTAACTAAGTAATTGGGGTCTTAAATTTGTCTTTTTACTGTTGAGGGACTAGTTAATTTGCTAGACTGAAAATCTTCCTCTAAAAAGTATTAGATTGGTCTGGAATTTAGTAGGTTTCGGCGGTGTTTTTTTACCTAGGTACATTGGTATTAGGATTTATTTTGGGGGGTCTATAAAGCCTTAATTTTATTACCACTTGGGAATCAAACAAAGCATTAATTTTTCAAATGTTGAATGATACCATTTGCACAACACCTACCTAAATTATATTGTTTATAGCTATAGGAAACCTTCCAATGTTAATCCCATTTTACAGATTATGTTCCAGACTCACAGTTTATGTTCCTAAGGGCACACCAAGTCAATAAAATTAACTGAAAAACAGAAGTAATTGAATTTGTCTTTGGCACAGGAAGGTCAAAATTCACCAGCTGAGGATTCCAACCGTTTCTCAAATCTTACGTTTCACCCCAGTTACAGAAGGGAAATTAAGTCTCCGAATCCAGACTGAATAGTTCTAAAAAATACTCGATCTTATGCAAAGGACAGGATTGACTTCAAGGTATGATTTATCCTTCATACCTGAAAACAGAAGAGAGGCAGAGCCAGATTGTAACCAGAAAATATTAAATGAAAACAGAGGACGCAGTAAGGAGAATAAAGGAGAAGTAGGTGAAAGCATCCAGATCATAAATGTTCCAGGGGAATCCCAAGGCACATTGTAAGGCACCACTCTTAAAAGATACAGATGGCTGGCAGTTGGAATTAAAGAGCAGATTCCCAGCAAAGGGTGCAGAGCCACAGGTGTGGAAAGGGTAATTCCTTGCATTCATCCTGTCTGAAGCAGTTGGTAACCGGCAGAATTCCGAGCACTGTTGACTAAATATTGATAAAAACAAAAATACAGAGCGTTCCTCCAGGATATACCTCCACCCTCTGAATCGATGGCTTTTCTGGAGAACAAAAAAAAATAATTTTCCACTGTTAGAGGAGGGATGGGTGAGCACTGTTCTACTGAAATATTTCACTTTGGAGAAGCGAGCCTTGGGAAATAACTCAGGCAGAGACTGCACCAGGCCCTGATAAACGATTCAATAATTCTCACTGTTGAGATACAAGAGAATTATCCCCTCCAGAAAAGGGCAAGGGGGTGTGGGGAAGACAAGAGGACTGAACCAGGCCGCTCAAGGCAAACAATACCCTCTATGAATGGGTGTTTTTATTTAAAAGTGGCTCTTTATTAGCCCATTTGTTTCTTACTACATACTAGTGTCCCCTGGTACACAGTTCAAGAATGGCTGCTGTTGACAACAATGAGCATTTACGAAGGAGAAACCAGGGCATTTCTTTTCTGGTCATGAGTTCAGAAAGGATTCTTTTTTTTTTTTTAATAGAATAAGTCTCACTGGGGAGCAGGATGCTTGCCACATTTTTAGAAATCATGTGACGGAGGGAAAGAGGTGGATTTTGGTCATCTAAACCAGGTTGCAGGTTGATAGTTCACCAGGGCAGCAATCTTTGCAATAGCAGGAAGCTAGACAAAGAAACGAATCATTCATCTAGCAGATGAAGGAACAATTCGGGCTCTGTGTCATTTCCCCATGGAGGAAACTACAAAGCAGAATATGCTGAAAAAGGAAGAAAGCAGAATGATACTGGCCTGGTTTGGGGAGGGGGGGGGAATTGTACCTAGCAGGAAGGCCAAAAGTCAATTTCCCAAAAGAAAGAAAGAAAAGCCCCCGCCCCCCTCAAAAAAAAAAAAAAAGCTCAAAAGATGTTAAAGCAAACATATACCAGTAATATATTTTTTTCTCGTGGTGGGAGAGAAGTAGCAATTAATCCTGGCTAAATGTCGATGGACATGGTGGTACTACTCAGAGATAGATGCTTTAAGGATTCATCTGGGAGGAAAAATGATAGCAGAGATAGAGCAGGGGTCTCCAAGCTTGGCAGCTGGAAGATATGTGGACTTCAACTCCCAGAATTCCCTAGCCAGCATTCTGGGAGTTGAAGTTCACCCATCTTAAAAGACGATGGCTGGGAGATCCTGGGAGTTGAGTTCCACCCATCTTAAAAGATGCTGGCTGGGGGATTCTGGGAGTCGAAGTCCACAAGTCTTCAAGTTTCCAAGGTCGGAAACTCCTGAGATACAGGTCCATAACCATGAAAGCAGTGGAGCAAAAGAAAAATGACAGGACACAGTTCTGTCTTCGTGAACTGGAGGGGAGGGGAAGTAGAAGCCATTGACTAAACCTCAGATGAGAAAAGGAAGTTGACAATCCAGAATGGAGAGTATCGGAAAGGCGGGTCCTTGGTTTCGTAGCTGATGAAATAGAAGGCCAAACCATCACGATTCATGGTTGTCCAAATTGGCCATTCAGTTCCATAAATAGCCTTGGCCCAACGATTCGTGAATCATCCTATTCCTCCGTGGCCATTGCGAGAATGTAATTGAACCAGTGCAAAGACTGAAGCTCCCTTCTAGGTTGTGTGGATTTGTTTGGTGCTTGCCAGGTTTCTGCCATGGTTTGCTTGGGATTTTTACTGTTGGATTATTTTATCACGGAATTATTTTACTTTTCTGGGATGTTTTTCCTCTCTATTGAATTGCCCAGAAAGCAGAGTGGAGGTCAAACAAAAATTTAGATTAGGGATTACCTGTAACAAATAAATCCATAAACAGGCAGTTCTTGAGTTATGACTGCATTGGAGCCCAGAACGTATGTTGCTAAGTGAAACATTTGCAAAGTGAGCTTGTCCCATTTTTACGACTTTTCTTGCCACATTTGTTAAGCGAACAGGGTTGTTGAGTGACTCTGGTTTCCCCTTTCACTTTGCTTGTCAGGTGGTCCCAAAAGGGGGGAATCGCATGATCTCGGGGGACCCTGCAAACCGTCGTAAACACGAGTCTGTTGTCAAACATCTGAATGCAAATCACGTGACTGTGGGAGAATGCTGCGACGGTCGTTAAGTGTGAAAAACGGTCGTTAAGTCACTTTTTCCCCTGGTGCCACTGTAATGTTGAACCACTGTAAAGTTGAGGACTACCTGTACAGCACCAAATTCTTTTGGAAAGGAATACAGACAGAGATGAAATCCTTTGGATCCATTCAATTCCACCGGATCAGGGCAGTTAGGATACCTGCCCCCTGATAAACCCTGTTTTATTTCACACACACCCTTCATTTTCCTTGCTGAATTTTTAGCCAAATAGGTTAAAATTGGGGAGAGGGGGACCGAGATGTTGTTTTTAATCCCGCCCCCCCCCCCCAAAGACCTTTGAGCCTAAAAAGCGTCCAGGAATTCTCTATAACCTGCCCCTGGGCTTCTCCCTTTCTAGAGACATTGGGGGACTACCGTTCCCAGAAGCCCCTACCAAGCACAAGAAGGGCCGCCCGGGCCGGGGATTCTGGGAGTTGTAGTCCCAGTCCCCCAATCCCCCCCCCCCCTTGGCAGAGACCAGGGGGGGTTTTTTGGTTGGGGGGAAGGAATCCTGACTTGTAAAGAGCCGGGTTGCTGAATGAAGGGGAGATGGGGGTCTGGGGGGGGCTGTCGGGCGGGGGCTAATGGAGGCCGTCACGTGATCCCAGGGAAGGGAGGGGCGGCGGGGGGCGAGAAAGGGAAGTACCCCGGGGGCGAGGGGAAGGTGAAGCCCGGGCCTATCGCACCTCAGGGAAAGGAGGCCGCCCCGGATGGACACCGTAAAGGGAGGGGGGAAAAGCAGAAGAGCCCCGCCGTCGGTACCTGTCCAAGGCCGGCTCCCGGCCCTGCGGCTGTTACCACCTCCGTCTCCGGCGCCGCCATCTTGCTGCGCCGTTGCCTGGTGCAATTCTCGCGAGACTTTCCTCGCTTTCTCAACTCCCGTTCTTCCTTTTTTTTTTGCACGTCACGTGGGCCTCACCTCCTGGAGGCGGGGCTCGTTTGCGGGACTCTCGTTACCGTAATGCTGAAAGAAGCGGCGCGAGATTACCGTATGTGCATAATAATAATAACAACAACAACAACAACAACAACAACAACAACAACAATAGGTGTGGTCTTCGTAAGGCTTTATAGAGTGGTATTAGTACCTCCCTTGATCTTGATTATATCCCGTTAATGCAATTTAGGATTGCGTTGGCTTTTTTGGCTGTTGTAGGACTCCCTGTAACCTTGTTTGATCCATCCACAGGAATGCTTGCCAAATAACCTGAGGCTTGGAAAAAAATTTTTAATGGGGCTTGTTTGGTTTGCAAGGGAGCATCCTGGGTGAAGCTAGACTATTCTGGTTTGTTCAGAAACCCCCATTTAGCGCAATGTGTGAGTTGACCCATCATAGCAGTGTTTTCCCCAGGGTTCCTTCATTGCCCCAAACCTCTTATCAAAAGGATCTTCAAGTCAGCACATTTAGGTTAGTTTTTTTTAAACTACCGAATCTTCTTTCTGACCCCATGAGGGATAGAAACTTGATTTTTAGACGAAAGCTAATAACTCACTCTCGGACATGCAAGCTGGGGAATTCTGGGAGTTGAAGGCCAGGCATTTTCAACTTCAACATAGCCAAGGTGGTCTGTTCATTTTTATTAAGGAGGTGGACGGGATGCCTCCAGAAATCATGGGTGCCCCATCACTGGAGGCTTTCCAGGAGAGATTAGACGGCCATTTTGTGGCAGAACAATATAGGGCCTCTTGCTTGAGCAAGGGGGTTAGACTAGAAGACCTCCAAGGTCCCTTCCAACTCTGTTATTCTGTTAAAAAAATAACCCGAATGCCTTTAGATTCCACCGTTGCATTTTTACAATTGACTTTGCCTGATAAGTGATGTGGGATCAGTGAATCTGCGGTATTTCTTTTTTAAAGTTAAGTTTCTTTTCCCTCATTTTCTTTTTCTTGCTTGGGGGTGGTGGGTGGGGGTGGGTTGGACTCGGTTGTGATGAGCGTTGGCTGGCTGGGGAATTCTGGGAGTTGAAGTCTTAAAGTGGCCAAGTTTGAAGGACCCCCCCAGTATAGGGTCTCCTGCTTGAGCAAGCGGGTTGGGCTAGATGACCTCCAAGGCCCCTTCCAACTCTTGTTATTGAATAATAATAATAATAATAATAATAATAATAATAATAATAATAATAGTAATTCGCATTCTTTCCCAGGGGCAAAACCAAAAACAAAAGCTCCGAGCTTCGATCCCGCTTTCTGGAAATGCAAAAAAAATAATAATAATCGTATTTTCTCTCCCTCCTTCCCTCCCTCTCTCCCCCCCCCCCCCCCCCCCCCTCCCCCAGTTTGCTCTTCCGTTGTGTTTTTTCTTCTCCCCCCCCCCCCGGTCTCTGCCTTGGCCCCGCCCCTTTTCCGCTGGGCTGGGGCTTTCCCGTTCCAAAGAAGTCTGACCTCATCGGCGGGGCCTCCTCCAATCAGGAAGCAGCAGCCGGCCCAGCAGGGGGAATTCCAAGGAACGCTCGGCCCCCTTTCGCGACCCCAAAGGACTTTTCTCTCTCTCTCTTTTCTCTTCTTTTCTTTTTTGCCTTTGAAAGAAAGGAAAGGGAAACTTAGAAAGGAAGGGAAAAAAAAAATAAGTTAGCACTTTTTTGGGGGGGATTTTTTTTTTGGGGGGGGGGGGGGCAGCCTGCGGGGACTGGGGGGCTCCGCAGGGACATGAAAGCCGGTGGCCGGAGCGAAAGCAGCCCGAGGCCGGGAGTTGGTTCTTCTGTAGGTAGGCGGGGGCGAGAGAAAGTGGCCGGGCGGAGGAGAGGGTTGGCCGGAGGTGGGCTGAGTTAAGGCCACGCTGGTTCCTCCGGGCTGGGAGAGAGGCAGCCGAGCCTGGGTAGCAAACTGCTTGCCACCTGCCCCGCCCGGATTCCTGCATTTTCTTCTCCTGTCATGTTGCGGAGATTAGCAACTTAATAACGAAAGAAGATTTAACGCAATACAATTAAATTACAGGTACAGTATATAGATAACGTGTAAGAATATACACTGTAAGCCGTATTATGATTGGACTGTACGGGACTAAAACGGATAGAATGACAAGTGTATATAGACTGCAAGAGTCTTTCAAACTTGACAGCTTTTAAGATTTGTGGACTTCAACTCCCACCATTCCTCCTCCAGGCATGTTAGCTCAGGAATTCTGGGAGTTGAAGTCCACAAGTCTTAAACTTGCCTGTTTGGGTGGAGGGTTGGACGAGATCAGGGGTCTCCAACCTTGGCAACTTTAAGACTTG